TTTTATTGAACATTTTTCTCAGTGTTTACCGTTTTTCTGAAATTTCAAAAAAAATCAATATCATTAAACTGTGTTAAGTGACATTGTTGAAAATTCCTGAAAAAGACTATATAAAATAGTTTAGATGTGCAGCGTGCGGTAGAATTCGGTCAAATATCGAGATAAAGAAGGGAATAACTTCACTGGTAAGTAATAATATACGTTACATGTAGTAAAATTAACCAATTATGAAATAGCTATATTAGAATAACTAATTATATAGAGTGACGCCTCTCATACGACGCGGAGGCTACAAGTAGAACGGATATTAAAATATTCTTTGGTAGAACGACAATTTATATTAAAATGAAATTTGGTGAACACATGTATGTTAATTTAGAGCATTTTTTTTAAAAAATATATTAGTGCTACAGGGTGCCCCTAAAAAAGTTACAGATCAAAATTGTATTGTAAATGAAACAACCTATGTATTCATTGCTTTTCGGTTTCTAAAAAAAAAAAATAAAGATCAGTTTCGTTCAGAAGTACATGATTGAAGGTTTATTGTTGGATTGGCTTTTTATTACTTTGAAAATTTCTTCTCCAATTTACATGTTACTTTGAAAGATCTAACGTTTTTAGATCTTTGTTGTCAAAAAGATTTTTTTTTTTATTTTTAACTTATTGTCAGAAAGATTTTTAAATTGACTCCTCGAGAAGGGGTGAAATAAATAACAGTTATTATTCGAAATTCTTGAGAAACGGTAGTATTGTATATCCAGAAAAAAAAGACTAAAAAAAGTCCAAATAAAAAAAAAAGTTGTAGAGCGTCCAATCTTACATAAAAAATGATCCTATACTTTTGCCCAAGTCAAAATTAACTCCAGATAGAGTGGTTGTAGCTGGGGGACAGCTTTTATTGAACATTTTTCTCAGTCTTCTTACTGTTTTTCAGAAATTTGAAAAAACCACTTTTATTTTTCTTACCCCTTCTCGAATTTAAAAAAAATCTTATTTGAAATTTATAATTTTCCCTCTAATATGTATATTGAATAAAAAATATTAAAGATATGTTTTTTTTTTTTACTTTTTCTGTTAAGACGTACAATTTTTCTTTTTAAATTCTACCATTATCCTCTAGCTTCTAGCCACCCTATATCTCGGTTAATTTTGATATGAGCAAAAAAGTATAGAGATCATCTCTATGTAAAATTTGACGCTCCACAACTTTATTTGAACTTTTTCTAGTTCTTACTGCTCTCCGAAATTTCGAAAAATAATTTTATTTATTTATTTGACCCCTCCTCGGGGATGAATTTAAAAAAAAAATCTTACAAGGGATTCGTTTCCTTTTAGATTTCCTTTAAAGCAACTCTCTTTCCCAAGTTTTTACGAAAACTTCTTTTTTAAAGGCCTATATTTTCTTGGGCTATTTTAATGAGCAGATTATATAAAAAAACTTGTTATCATATAATATCATCCATACTAAACAGTGTGTTAAGTAATATGGAATACGGACGACAAATCTGGGAAAATCTAAATTATTTGCTCTGCTTGGGACAGTTAACGCCAAAACACGCACAAACAATTAAATCCCGATTACCATCTCAATTATAGAGGAATACAGTAGAACGGATCAGTCACAAATTTAACTGAAAAGTAACAACGAAATGTACGTGCAGCTTGCATTATATTGCTTTGATCGGGTATAACGGGAAAAGCTGGAAACTGCCAATTTTGGTGTTTCTGTGACCAAACGTCGACAAAGAAGTTTATTTACATTCATTTTACAAATTTAATTTGGAAAATATTGATAAAATAACTGACTTTTTATTAATATAATAGGTGGCGCAACCCTCATTCGCCTTGATTGATTATACGAAATCGAAAAGATGTAGAAACAAAATATTTCATGGGTATAATTTATGTAGTTGGCGATGTGCATAATTTTAAAATTATTTTGAAAAGTACAGAGTATGTCAAAACCAAGATCCACACCAAAGTTATATTTTTCTTATGAAAACACACACGGTACTCCTTTATTATTTCCATTTGCATCCCACACAAAATAAGTAATTTTATTATATAGATTAAATATGTTTACAAGCTTCTAATTTCTTGAAATATTTAAAGATATAAAATATGCATGCTATAATCGTCAAAAAGATCGTACATTGTTTTCAGGAATTATTAATTTCTTATGTGACAATCTCTGTGAGTATTATTTATAATGGTTTTTCCCAACGAAGGGCTCTTTCAATAAAATATTAAGAAGCCTTAAATGTACGAGCCCCCATTCATTAACAGTTTTGTTTGACGTTCTCAATTGTTCAATTTGAATTTTCTTTAAAACAAGTTGTGTTTTTTTTAGATTTTCTAAGCTTCTTTGTTATGTCATTATTTTCTATTCTGCATAACTGGTTTTGTTTTAAGGTAGTAAATCTAGAAAGATATTGCGTCAGACTTAAACTGTGTTAAGTGACATTGTTGAAAATTCCTGAAAAAGACTATATAAAATAGTTTAGATGTGCAGCGTGCGGTAGAATTCGGTCAAATATCGAGATAAAGAAGGGAATAACTTCACTGGTAAGTAATAATATACGTTACATGTAGTAAATCAATCAATTATGAAATGTACTTAGAATAACTAATTATATACAGAGTGACGCCTCTCATACGACGCGGAGGCTACAAGTAGAACGGATATTAAAATATTCTTTGGTAGAACGACAATTTATATTAAAATGAAATTTGGTGAACACATGTATGTTGATTTAGAGCATTTTTTTTAAATATATTAGTGCTACAGGGTGCCCCTAAAAAAGTTACAGATCAAAATTGTGTTGTAATGGAACAACCTATGTATTAATTGCTTTTCGGTTTCTAAAAAAAAAATAAAGGTCAGTTTCGTTAGAGAAGCATATATGATTAAAATGTAAGGTTTTTGGCATATTTAACATTTTTTAAAACTGAAGAATAAATTTTAAAGCGCAAGGATCTGGGCATATAGAGTAAAATACATGCAAAATTGAACAGAAAAATGACGGACGATGATTTACGAAAACATTCTATAGGAGCCAAAATGTCTGGTATACTTATAAGACGATTACAGTTGAGGGTTGGAACCTTTGGTGTTACAGAGCAAAATAAAAACACTAAATCACCACAATACACCAAAACACTTTTACTTTTACACTGGACGCGCGTTTCGCTAACCAAAGCTAACCATGTTAGCATCATCAGCAGATAATTATAAACTAAAACTGAGTTTATAATCATCTGCTGATGATGCTAAAATGGTTAGCGAAACGCGCGTCCAGTGTAAAAGTAAAAGTTTTTTGGTGTATTGTGGTGATTTAGTGTTTTATTTTGCTACTTATAAGACGGTCAACAGCACAGCTTATTGAGTACCCAACTACAGCAACTTCGCATGTTTTAACTTCTACAGTTAGTCGATCGGGATGATTTTTTTAAATGGAACACCCTGTATATTATTGCATTTTTCTTTTATTAACCTTCTTTCTGATCACTTTACATAATCTTAAGATATTATTAAATACGTTTTGATAATTTCAGAGGTATTAATAAGTAAATAAAAAAAGTCAGCCTTTGTTAAAAAAAATATTAAAAATACAAGAAATGTTCTAAAACCAATCTAACAGACTAAAAGAGTATTTTTATTACTACAACAGATAACAGCACTACCACAAACTAACTTGTGGCACTGCCCTTATTAATCCTAATAACCAATATACAGGGTGATTCCTGTAAGTTGGTCATGCTTTCGGGGAATGATGGGGGACGTCAAAATATTAATTTTGATATAGCACACTATGGGTCGGAAATTACTCTTACGCAAGATACAGGGTGGTAAAGTTTTTGAAAAATTAAAGATATTCTTTAATAGTTTTTTAACAGTTGAAGGTATCGTTATAAAATTTTATTATAGGAGTCTACCTAACAGAGACAGGTTAAATGTAAAAAGAAGAGGTCTTAGTTTCAACCAGTGGCGTAGATGTGATAGGCATCGGCTAATTCTTTCAAAAAAAATAGTACGCCACTGATAAAAATAAAAAAATCGGAATCTTTTTATTTACTTGGTTTATTTCCAAGAAAAAATGTCTCTTGCAACTTTCTCCTATCTAACACTATTTTGCCACAATTTAAAAATAAATATTTTTTTAGTGAGAACCTTAAATATGCGAATTATTATAACTACCTTAAAACTAAGAATTTTATTTTTAACAATAAAAAAATTTCTAGTTGAAATTTATAATTTTTTAAAAATTTATTTAAGGAGCTAAACCTTGGTCTAGTTAAATTCACATGTAAGTGATAAAGGGAGCTGACGATGCACATGTGTTTCTGCCCTCTAGTTATAATAATTCGCTGTATTTAAGATTCAAATTAAAAAATGCATTTATTTTTAAATTGTGACAAAATGGTATTAGATAGGAGAAAGTTGCAAGAGATATTTTTGCTTGAAAGTAAACTGAGTAAATAAAAAAAACTCTAAACATTTTTTGTTATCAGTAGCGTATTATTTTTTTGCAAAAATTACCTGATGCGTATCACATCTACGCCACTGGTTGAAACTAAAATCACTTCTTTTTACATTTAAAGTGTCTCTGTTAAGTAGACTCCTATAATACAATTTTATAACGATACCTTCAACTGTTAAAAAACTATTAAAGAATATCTTTAATTTTTCAAAAACTTTAACACCCTGTATCTTGCGTAAGAGGCATTTCCGACCCATAGTGTTCTATATCAAAATTAATATTTCGACGTCTTCTATCATTCCCCGAAAGCATGACCGACTTACAGGAATCACCCTGTATATAACAAAAAAATCTCACTTATCCAACAATTACACCATAGTAACATAAACAACCAAGACAATGAATTAAATTTATTCTGCGTCTATTTAATAGTGTTTGTCATCTATAATATGTAACCATGAAATAAATGTTATGATAAAAATATTTATCTAATAAAACTCAAAGTAATAAAACTACAAATGATTTTCTAATGCTTGTAATACACTACTCGTACAATAAATGTATATATTTATTAGTAAAAAAATATACTATAAACTATAAAGGCACATTTATCACTGAATACATTTCGGTTAATCGATGGCATGTAAATCACAATGCAAATAAAATTTATTTTAACTAATCAACCAAAATAAAATATATGACACCAAAATCCTTAAAATTACATCCCTGTTTGTCCATTATTGCTCTTCTATTAAAACTTCGGTTTTAGAAACCTAGATTAAATCATATGTAGCAATATACAGGCAGGATAAGTAGCAATATTAACTTCGCAATATCGATTGACATTTTATATGTAAAATTATATGGTAAAAGATATCAATCGGCTTTTCTAAAGTAACTTGACACCGTTCTTTTTCGAGAATGAGGTACTCTAAAAATGTCTTTTAGGAAAAATATAAAAAAAAATTACTTAAGTACATCTTTTAACTTTGATGATAAAAATATATCTAACAAAAGTCTGAACTTTTAAGTCCCGTAAAATCACTAATCTAACGTTAATTCAGATTGCTTTCTTTGGTTTTAAGTATAGAGTAGCTAGCGAATACACAGCTTTAGAACTCTTTAGTCTATTAATAAAAAATGGCAATAAAAATTAGATCAATAAAGCCTTAATAAGATTAAAAATAAATAACTAAAAATTGAAAATAAAATTTTGAAATTCTATTTTCTATTCAGTTGATAGAAATTTCCCTACAATTGCACTAATATAGTAACACTAATAATTGTGCTACAAAACTGAAATATGCTTATCAGTCTTCAAAATATTTTGAGATTCTATGATTAACTACAAATGAGTATCCTCATAGGTCATCTTTAATGATGACTTCTTCAGAATAACAACTGAATCCTCAGTATCGCTGATATAACCTTTTTCCCCTGTATAATGAGTAGGATAGAGTAGCAAAGGAGCCACTGAAAATGCTACTAAATCTCTCTTAGGATAGTGGTTTTTCCATGATTCCTGTGGGTGTTTATCAAAAGTATGGGCAAATACTCATCCACTGGCACCTAAAAAATAATTTTAAAATCAAGTTAAGAAGAAATAAAATTTGCTGTACCAATTTTTTTAAAGGTTCGGCTTCAAGGAGTTTTTTGGCACCATTTAAACTGAGGACATAACCCAACGTCCAATAAGAATACCCTACGTGTACAAGATAGTTAGAGCCTTCAACCCAAGGCTCATCTTGATCTTGGAGACGCTTTCTACCAAAATATCTACAAAAATAATTTCCTAACTGTATACAGGGTAACCAACAATTTAGTCTGAAATAGATCAATATCATTTCTAAAGCTTTTTCAGAATAGTAGGTTTTCTATATATAACTTATTTATATATTTTTTTCTATGTTCTATTAAAGGTTACTGAACAGATACAGTTAATAGCACCTTGACAAAATGACAAATCCACCACTTAATACACCCACTTGTAAATACTTACACTAAATCCCAACCTGGCATGTGCATGACTTCAGCCATGGTATATTTAGTTTTTTTCCTAAAATAAGATTCAAATCTAATATCATCTTCCAAAACCAAAGTTTTTTCATATCCATTCTTAACAACCTAAAAAGATTATAAAATAAAAAAAATAAATTACAAAACACTTTAGCTTACATCTTTCCATACTTGATAATGGCTTAAAAAGCAACCTATTTCTCCTAACTTCATGGGCCTACAAATAAATGATCAAGTTTTGATAAGTATAAACTCATGAAATATTAAATTTCATCTCCATACCTTTTATGATACGGATCATAAAAATCAGGCATAAAAGAAATAGATTTTAAAAATGTCTCATTTAATTCCCTAAAAAAGAAAAGATATATTTTTTTTATACATATACAGGGTGTTTCAAAAAACATGTGCCATCTCTGGCGGGAAAATTCTTCACGTAAAAATAAGATTTATTTTTCATATCAACATAGGTCCGATTCTGCTTTGTTACTTAGCTACAGGGTGTTAAAGTCTTAATAATGTTTCGATTTATTATAATTTTCTTCCAAGTATTTTTAGTGATTTGAATGAAATTTTGAGGGTTAAAGTTACTATAAGTGCTACATATTTTAATGCTAAAAAAGTGTCGATAAATTTATCAGGGACGTGCATATGGGTGATCACTGGAATATTTTTCCAAAAAAAAAACATGTGCGCCACTGACTTTTTTCTTTTGATATGAAAATTGTGTAGGCCGTTTAATACCAATTAAAAATTATCTCTTGATATTTTGTCGAATTCGGCCTCCTTGATGATATAAACGCAATGTTATTAATCACAATTAATAAAATTAAAATAAAATTAATAAAATATATATTTTACCTAACTTATTATTAAATATTATTATTATTAGTTATTATTACTATTAGTTCAAATATGAAAAATAAATATTATTTTTACGTGAGGAATCTCCCCACGAGAGATAGCACATGTTTTTTGAAACACCCTGTATACTGTATATAGGGAGGCCCATAGTGTTCTGGCCAAGCTCTATATCAGACGTTCTCTTTGATAATACAATATAGAGGGTGTTTCCTAAATATTCTAAAAAATTTCGTGCTGTGATACCTCATTATGTTTTTAAGAAAAAAAAGTTTATACAAGGTGTCCCAGAAATAAGTGCAAGTATTTTAACTGTTAGTATAACTCAACACAAGAAACACGCCTATGAGGTTTTTCATGAATTTTTTTTTTAAATTCGAAATTTTTTGAAGGATTTTTTTAAATTTTTTTGGTTTTTAGATAAAAAAACATAATTTCTTGATAATATAGCAACATAGGTAGTAGATTAAATTTACAAGAAAGAAAATCCAGAAAAGATCCAGTGGTTCCCAAAATTTGAGCAAAAATCATTTTTTTGGAAATTTTCAAAATAAAATATCTTCGTTATTTTGGACTTATTTGAAAAACGATAAAGAGAAAATATGTTTCTTTTATCGAGATCTACCACCTCTTAAATTACTTGCACTTATTTCTGGGACACCCTGTATAAACATGGGTTCTAAAGTACTTCCTTTGTGATCTACAGGGTGTTAAAAAGTTAAAAAAAAATATTGTTTTTCGAATTTCTAGCAATATGTCTACTACTTTAGATATTTTTTTAAGGGAGTTAAAAGGAGTTTCCAGGTATTAATGCAGTTTTTTCCATTAACTGCTGTTTTCCTACTTGAACCAGTGGCGTCTCTATCCACACAGCCCTGCATTATTTGATTAAAATAAATGGTACGCTGCTGCTTTTTTCGATTTTTTTTTCTTGATTGTCCATTCTTTTTTTAACAAGAACAATCTCTTCAGTTTCTCTTGTACTTCAAACAGTTTTTCAGAAAAAAATAAATTAACTACACTGCACATTGCAAAATCGCTAAAAAAAAAGCATAGATAAAAAGTGATGGGCTTTAACATCTTCTTTTCTTTCTCAATCATCGACGTAGTATTCTCAATCAATACGCAGTGACGTACGATTTATTTTAAACCAATTAATTTTTTTTGTTCAAATTAACTTTTTTTTGTAAAAACATATTAGGAATCACACTCTAATCATTTTTAAACTACTTAAGAAACACTCTCTGTATACTGTACGTCTGTCCGTTCTGTAGCTACGGGGAATCCGTGAGAGGGGAAACGATATTCTCTCGATGTTTTTCGTAAAAAATAGACGACGCGTCCCATCAATAAAAATTCAACAAATTTGCAAGTAGCCAATAAAACAAGTGGGCGGAGCGATTTGCGGTGACGCACTCGTCAAATCGACGTATAAAATATATTGCTGTTTATTTAAATGTTTTTTATCCGCATTCCTTTCATAGACACAGATCCAGCAGATGTACGGTACAGAATAATTCAAACTTTTCAATAGTTGTAGCTTTTAAATGGAACATTATATATTTTTGTTTAGAAAAGGTACTAGATCTATCATGGAATTCTTAAAATACCCATAATACCGTATGAAAAATGGTTGGTTATTATGTAATACATCAAAATTTAATATTGCAAGATTTAAAGAGATAGAAAACAGTACATATGTATGTACTTCTTTGCAATTAAAATAAAATAAATATTTTTCTTTCAAGTTCAACTTAAAATTTAAAATAGATAAACAGATATAGAGGTTTCTGAGAACACTGGACCACCCCATATATTTGCAAACTTACTGCCCATCTACAGCATCTATGGTTTCAACATCCAAGCCCATCTCATCAAAACACTTGTGCATCCTATCTCTTCTATCAGGTCTCCTTCTTAAATTAATCATAAATATTTTATCAAAGTCCATTCGATCTTTTTCTGGTAATTTTATGAACTCCTTAAGCAAATCACTAACATACAAAGAATTTCCTTAAATTTGTATTTATTTATATTCAGTATACACAAAGTATTTAAAATTTAAAAATTCTTTATTAGGTACCTGAATTTAAAACTTCCATTTTTATGTTTAATAAATGATCATCATCATCAACTAACTCTTCACTTGGTTCCAGTGGAACAGGAATGTAACCAAAAACTTCTTCGTTACATAAATATAATGGTATATTGTTAAATCTGGCAGAAAGTGCAAAGACAATTATGTCATCATACGGAATATCATCTGCTTGCAAATTTTCATGTATATAAGTTAGTAAATCTGATTCTGCCCTCCTCAAATCAATCATAACACATGAATGAACCATAGGCACATTATAACAGCTAATATTATTCCTATTTACAATAGGTTTGTATTCGTCAGTTCGATGGTAATAGTAATTATCAGTCATACCATGCCAGAAATTAGAATATAGTCCATTAGACCGAAGCATGGGAGATACAACTGTAAAATTCTTTAATACCAAATAGTTTAATGTTTCTGGATTGGTGAGAAATACATCGGCATCAATAGACTTTAAAAAAATTCAAATTATTAATTTTTGAAAAAAGTAATTAACAGAAAATTACCAAAAGATAGTCAGCCCATATATTCTTGGCAAATTCTAAAGCAGCTTGTCTTTGATTCATAACATGAGTAAATCTACTGTCTGGCCAGTCAGCAATACCGCTTTCACCTTAAAAATTACATTATTTTACAAACAGTATGTTTTTGGATCAAAATATCAGACAACTGTCACTGTCATGTATTCTCTTGTTGGACAAACTATACCTAGTTATATAAACACTTAAATAACATGTTTATAGGTACCTGGAAATGATTTTGCAGTATCTTCAAGTTCTGTATGAATCGAATGATACTCATTTTTTACTGACTCAACCCATAACTTCAAAATATGTATGCTATTATCACTATTATGGTCACTTCTAATCCTAAAAGATAAATCGTCATTCTATACAGATATAATACAGATGAATTAGGAACTATGCAGTTATTTTGAGACCATTTGATAGTTTTGTTTATTAAGGTTATGTTTACACAACCTACATAAAAAAAGGAAAATTGTATGAGATACTTACCACAAAGACATACGATCTTTTGGATAATTCAGTCTTTCGAAATTCGATAAAAAATACGGTAAAGTATGGGCCTTGTTTCTTACCAAAACAGACACAAGAATGGTCGGTTTCTTCAATCCTTGTGTAAACACAGTCACTATTGTAAAAACAAAAAACCACACCCGCTGCATTTTTGCGCATTCAATAAATAACTTACAAGCTTCCTGGCTTTATTAAATAAAAGCCTAGTGCATATTTATCAACTTCCAACCCATAATAACTTCGTGATTATTTGTGGAGATTACGAATACGAATCAAGGTCGTGTCAATATGTGTGAATATGTCACAGAACAGCTGACTGCTGAGAGTGCTGAGCACGCAAACAGCGGCAAACCAAACTATCTCAAAAAAGCGCTCATTTAATGGAGATGATGCGTATTTTTTATTATTTTATGTATAAAAGTAGTACCTATATTCACAGTAGTCTTTGGTATAAAATAAAAGCTGTAATTGTAATAATCCAGAATTTCAATTCGAAAATTTTTACTCATATTTTTTACCTAAAATGTGGGCAGTGTCGCGGCACTTTTAATTTTTTTTAATTGAAATACACAGGGCGATTCAAATAATTACACTGGAGTTATAGTTTTCTAAATACGTAGAATGCTGTATTTTTCTCGATGGATTTCCCAAAAATACCATGCAGTATGTAATAGCGAATGATTTTTGAAATAAGTATGAACATTTTTTTAAATATATACCGCTAGAGAATTTAAAAAAATTAAATGACCTTAAATATGTATAATAAATAAAATATAGATGTTTTTTCTTTAATTTCATTACTAATATTGCTCTAATATTTTGTAAAACAAAACTTGCTTTAAAAATATATAGAAAAAAACAGATATTGGACTCTTTTGGAAGAGTGAGTATACCACCCTGTGTATAATTTTTGAATAAATATTTATTATACATATTAAAATATGATGTTAAAACTTCAGATACGACTGCAAACCGATTTTAAAAATTTTATTCAAGTAAAAATACATCAAAAAAGCAAATACTGGACTCTTTTGGGAGAGTAAGCCACCCTGTATATAATCTTTGAGCAAAATTAAACATATAATATCTTCATTAGGCATATAAAAACTTTAGACACGACTGCAAACCGATTTTATAAATATTATTTAGATAAAAATATATAAAAAAGCAAATATTGGACTCTTTCCGGAGAGTGAGCCACCCTGTATATAATCTTTCAGCAAGATTAAACTCATAATATCTTTATTATACATGTTAAAACTTCAGACAAGACTGCAAACCCATTTTAGAAATGTAAATTAGGTAAAAATATATAAAACAGATATTAGACTCTTTTGAGAGGGTGAGCCACCCTGTATATAATCTTTGAGCAAGATTAAACTTATAATATCTTTATTAGACATGTGAAAACTTCAAATACGACTGCAAACCCATTTTAAAAATTTAAATTTGGTAAAAAAAATATAAAAACAGATATTAGACTCTTTTCAGAGAGTGCATGAGATACCCTGTATATAATCTTTGAGCAAGATTAAACTTATAATATCTTTATTAAGTACGTTAAAACTTTGCTTTAAAAAGTTTCGCTGCAAACCGATTTTAAAAATTTTATTTAGGTAAAAATATATAATATAAAAAAAATGTTAAACTCTTTTGGGAATATAAGCCACCCTGTATATAATCTTTGAGGAAGAATAAATTTATAATATCTAGACATTTTAAAACTTCAGACACACTTATGTTTACACAACCTGCTACATACTACAACCTGCACGACTGCTACGGATTTCAAAAATTTTATGTAGATATACCTATTTTATGGAGGTACAGAAAAAATACCTATTTGAATAAAAAGTAACACGTAAAAGAGACAACAATGAGCGTAAACAATTTGTAAATAGATATGTGTTTAATAACAATAAGTGCTTGCTTCTTGTCGCAAAATTGTTACTGTATATTTTAGTAACAATTTAAGTGAGCCCTGTGTATCTTACGTAATTCATATTAAATAAATTATTATTATTAAATAATTATTATGTAATTCGAACATTATTATTACTTTGAAACAGTGGGGAATCATTCAATATTTATGTTTTAAATATCCAATGTTAGATATTGGATATAAATATATATATAAACTCTCTTAACTTAATATTAGGTACTTACCAAAAGAATTACTTGATGGCGTCGATTTTTCCCATAAAACACTTAAAAAAATGGCGCCCGCACACGATTCTTGCAAATGAAATGGAGTTAAGAGTACAGAAAACCGAAATAATCGCGTTGTTAACAAAAATATTGTCATCACTAGGTACTGTTTCTTGTTATTCACTATTTATTACGTAAAATTTTTGATAACGCGCGTTGATCACATTGAAAATAGTGAACAAAATTTCTAGAATTTCAAAAAGCGAAAGTACGAAATGTTCCAAACTTTAAAAGGATTGCTAGATTGTGATATTTTTTTAAAAAGCGCGTTTATTCAAAAAAAAAGCGACAGGCGCCCCGGCCAACGCCACCTAGACATAAATTGAAATGTGCGCGATGGCGCCATCTAGCGAGTTACGTCATTAATAATTTTGACTCCGTAATTTTCTGAAAAAACGTAAAGAATAATAATATATACTCTAAAAAATAAAAAAAAAAAAAAAAAAAAAAAAAAAAAAAAATAAAAAGAATCTTAATTCATATTCTAAAAATAGTTTTAATTTCTATTAAAAAAATTAGAATGTTTAAAAAATACGACTTCATAAAAAAAATATATATAGGCAACTCAATATACCAAGATCTTTCAAATCTAATCTAACCTCATTTTTTCGGTTTATGGGGGCCTTTTAAAGCGCATTGTTTTTATTATTTTCTTGAATATGTATTATATGTTTATATTATACAAGTATTTATTTAATATGAATATTTTACACAAAGTTTTAAAATGTTTCTAAGAAAAATCTCGAATAAAGGAATACTACAAAGAAATTCTATTAGATCTGTAATAAGAAAGTACAATAATATTAATTTTGAGGATATTCCCGAAGTATCTCCAGGAAAAATAAAGAAAACTTTCAATATAAATGGATTAAGTTTTGAAGAGGGATATAATTTTATCCCAGCAAAGTGTATAATTTAAAATGTAAAAGATGAAACAAAGTCTACTCCAAAAATCTTCAGTGCGACAACAAAATACTGGTACGTATATTGTAATTTAATTCTTAAAATAAATTTGACTTTACGGAATTTCAGGAATGTTTATGTGTGATTCCTGTTCTCATTGCGGACAATGGGACCAGTTTCTAGCGCATTTAGTTATGTTGAAGTCTAAAAATTAAGTGTTAACTTTTGAGAATGACTTTCAAAAAATTCAAAAAGTATAGGTGAAATTTTGAACGAAGTTACAAACCAAACAATTGTATTGAATTCGTTAGATGAAAACGAATTGACAAATATTCTGTCTAAGTTTAGACTTCCTGTAAGTTTAGTTGTATTGTCTCAAGGTTTATTCTTAAAATTTATTTTTAAGGTAATATCTCAAACTGCCATAGAATCTTTAGATATACAAGAATTCACACAAAACACACTTTTATACTTTCCATTAGAGAATGTTGAAAGTAGAGTTGTGGGATATAGAACAGTCCGTTCAAATAATCTGACTGAAACCATAATTCCCGACATAGAATGTGGCGGAGTTCTTACTGCTCGACTATCCAGATCTAAAGATACTGCTCTTTTAGTGCCTACTATTAGAGATTTTTTAATTAATCAATAAAAAATCCAAATGCCAGTATTGTGTGTTTACCAGATGGTGTAAGAACATTATCACAATATGTATTACCAAGTTTAGAAAGGTTTAAAAAAAATACATTATGGATGGGCAGTTTAGTGTTTCTTGGGATTCAGCCAGGCATTTTGCCCACAAGCTCGGAGAAAAAAGATGTTCCTTGATAAAACCTAGTATATTATTACCTCATATACAACCAGAAGAAGATTTTCCAGCAGTTAAAACACTGCTCCAACCTGTATGGCATAAAAGTATTACAACGTTTGGAAGTCTTAGAGCTGATGTTTTATCAGATTTGCAAAATATTGATAAGGTAAAATGGCCTTTATATGTGAAAAAAATGTCATTAATTAAGCTTAAATATAGGTCCAGGGAATTAAATGGAAGAGATACCCTACGCTAAATAAAATATTAAAGGGGCACAAAGAGGGAGTCACAATTTTGACAGGGCTAACTGGATCAGGAAAAACCACTTTTATCAGTGATTATTCACTTGATTTACTTATGCAGGGCGTGATTCTTCAGGCACCGGCATCCTTGACACCTGCTATTTTCAAAAAATATGGTTTATTTAAAAAAAAAAAAAAAAAAAAAAAAAAAAAAAAAAAATATTTTACACTAAATTACGTTTTAATGAATGCTTATATTTCTTTTTTGATAAAAATTCCAAAGTGACTCATAAATTGCATTTAACAAAGTTTTGATAGCTCTTAATAGTGAACAAATTATTGATGATGATATTAAGCACCTGTGGCCGGCGGCAACGGTATACAAGGTGGCCCATTGAAAACGTTCCGCAAGGCATAACGCCAGGGTAATTTTTTTTTTCAGAAAACTAAAACATCGTCAATTTTGTTTTGTGAGTGGGACAACTTCTTTGCCCCAAAATGATTGCAAAATCTTCAACCTTGTTAAAATTTCAACTTTTTTCTAAATAGCAAATATGGCACCCTGCTGCAGCACCGCAACGAAAGAGCTTTCTATTCTTTATATTTCCGTCGTTTTGAAAATCGGTCGAGTCATTGAGAAAAATACAAAGGATTGAAATTTGAAAAGTTTATTTAAGCATTTTTCAGAGTAAATGATAAGGATAAATTACTTCGACCAATTTGCTGTTTTTCCTATTATTTCTAGATGTTTATGCATTTTTTCACTTGCCACAAGGTTGAACGATCATGTGCCGTATAGTTGCTAGATAGCTGTTCTGTGACTTGTGCCTTGAAGTTTTCCTCAATATCGTTAAACTTTTTAATAATTATGGTGTACTCACTCTGCAGAAAAAAGTGGATATAATCGAACTTTATTTTGAAAAAAACAATGAATGTGGCAATCGGTTTGCGCAGATATTCAATGAACGCCATCCTGACAAACACTCCTTTATAAAATCTGTTTGCGACGAAAAGTGTAAATTCTTCACGAAACTGCTATAACGCAAGAGTAGAGGGAAAATTGCAGTAAAATGAAGCTATGGAGGTATTCGTAAAGTTGCCATGGATAGTACGCTGAGTGCAAGAAAATTAGCCAATAAGACCGCGACCGGCGTGAATCTACAGCGTCCAAACGATATTAAAAAACAGTACAAGTTCCACCCGCACAAAATTCAGTTGGTACAAGAATTCAA